TGCTGACTCCACTCATCAAGAGTCTTTTGTAGTTTAATAAGTCTTCTCCAGGTTGTGTACCATGGTTCACCTGATGATTCAACCTGGAACACTTCTGCAAGATACATCCATGCCCTCTCCAAGTCAAAATCACCGAGCGGAACTTCGATACCAGTAGTCGTTTTAAGCGCTATTTCAACTAATGCAGGAGCGGAAACAAGTAGGGCTTTTAGTGCTGCAATGGCTCGATCAAAATTTGTCTTGTTGTAGTTCTTATCACCACAAATACTATTTAACGTGTTCTTGATAATTTTGAGGAGATATTCAATATCATAATTGCGTTTAAAGCTTGTGATATTTTCGCCCAGTTCATTAAATTCTGCACAATTAGTTTTCCAAACTTTCCCTCCATGCTGCATAATCTTTTTGTTCGTCTTTTTGTACAAAGCAGTAGCTTTTCTAATGTCATCAAGAAATTGGCAAGTAAATCGAAATTGACGTTCACACATTCGTTCCAATATGATTATAATCGTTCGTAATTGCCATTCCAATTTAATAGGTGCCTCTTCCGGAAAAATTTTGTCGGCGTTTTGAGGATACAGACTCTGCATAGCCGCTACCAATACCTCAGCTGACACAGATTTTCCTTCATGTTCGAGAATATATTTGAGAGCGTAAAGATTCTCAGGATATTGTATGTCCGTTAACAATACTTTTATTTGCGCATCTGCGGAGATACGTCCTTGTTCAATCAGCGTGCGTATAAGTTTAGGGGAGTTGCCTTGGTTTACAGTCCTGTTCAGCATTAATACATAATTGGAGGAGGTCGAGCTTTCGGTTTCCTATAAAAACATAATAATAACAATAAATGTAATTAGTGATAGAGTACGTCTAATGTATGATAAAGGTGTTCTATACCTCGTATGCCATTGCAAGTATAAATATCACTTAGTTGTTCACTTAACAATTGCAGAAACGATAAGTACTACTTTATTCTATTCTTATTGGATTATGTGTCATATTACTGCATTGTGTAACAAGTGCTAAGTAGATCATTGTCGATATTACGAAAATTACAGGGGTTACGGCAAATAAATTAATAGTGGTTTGTTCAAATAAATGTTAAAATAGGCCAAGAACATTATTATCTAAAATGAATAGACGCAAACTATTATGCGTCGTTGCTTACAATATTTCTATAAACATTTGCTTCAATACATGATCTTATCTTTATTGTCTCTAACGTAAAAGTATAGGCGTTGTGCCTCAGTTGAGGACGTATCTCAGTTCTGGACCAAGACAACTGAGTTCTGGACTGATTAAAAATACACTCAATTTGTAGTTATCACACAATATCAGCACTGTTCAAACTGGTAATAATTATACGTCTGAAACAACAATAGCCAGTGCACGCTTTTGGCTAGTAATAAATAGTTGTTACAAGCTTAAGCTAAAGATTATTCTCACGGATAACTTTTCAACCTTTATTCAATTCCGAAATTCAAAAAAAAAAAAAAAAAGCCACATATACGACCGCACAGAATACTTCTAACATTCTCCGTATTATTGAGGACGAGTTTTCTCATATTTTCATTATTTTCTGACATAAACTATCCTTAAACCATTGTAAGCAAATTTGCCCACCTTTTGGATTTGCCAACAAATCGCTTTATATCACTGATACTACTAAGTACAACATACTGTATAATTGTCTCCAGAAGCTACTAGTATAAAATCACATAACTGTATGTTGTACGAGTCGGTTATGTCATGTTCTGATTCAAAAGCGGGCCGACCTAGTTCGAAATAAGCACGTTTTGTTTCGCGCTATTATCACATAAACAATGTTGATTAGATGTCGCTTATTAGACAATGTGCCTATTGCGAATCGGGCTGAATTTCGCTACGGGCCAGAACATATTGCCTACCCATCATTAACCTAAATTTTTTTGCCGATAGGAAACAGATAGAGTAAATTCATATAAAAGGGTTTCAAGAGTAATTTTTATTATAAAACTTAAAACAGGTTATATGAATGTTACTTCCAAAAATCATGAACACACTGTACATTACTTTATCAATCACCACGAACTAGGTTTAATATTAACCATACTTTAGTAAATGTCCCTTTCGATACATAAACTGTTTATAGTCAATCATTCTTACTCCAGTTGAAAGAGTTTTCAATTTTTAAGTTATTTTGCATAGCTTAAAAACCCAACCAAGAAACATGCTTGACTGTAATACCACGTACAATGAAGGTTAGAATAAAACGAATACAACTTGCATAAAATAAATAAATCACCATACTTACAAACAGCTGATATTAAATTTTAATATAAGTAGGTAGGGGTTTTTTTGGGGGCGCTTGTAATTAAAACTTTTGTTGACGATTACTAAAAAGGAAATATGTGAAGAGTGAAGTTAATTGTGTTATTCATTTATTGGTGAATCTCATTCAACCACATAGTAAGATATTATTATTTAGTTAACAATGAAAGAACTTTTTAGACAATGGCATAGAAACTGAAAATTTGAACTCAAATCTACAAACACAACGTCAACAGGATTTTATTATACTTATGACATGATACATCCATGACTTTATCGGCATGTGACTCTTATTTTATGATAAATAAATAGATAAACTACATGGAGAATGACAATATATGATAACATATTGCCGGTATTTTTTTATCTAGAATTGTCAGGGATGGATATACTGTAGATGTTACAGGTTGGATGTTGTCTTCTGACGTTTCGAGGTTTGTTGAACGGGTGGAGTGTGCTGAATGAGTGATTCGTATAATTTTGTTTTTTTTGGTAGGCTGAAGGTGTGGCGCGATCGATTGATTCGAGTGATGAGGAAGACGTATATTAATATGAAGATGTGTTGGAAGAAATAAATTCGAACTTTGACGTAAAGTTTGTCGTTATGATTTTTCTTATTTGATTCACGATATCCTATGACGTCAAAGTCTACTAGATTAATGCCTGATCCTCACCTACGTATTGTGTGGTGGCATGTGCGGGAAATGTGGTGATATCGTTTTGTACTTGTGCGGTGGTTTTTACAGTGACGATGGCGTTCGGAATATGTAGATATGTGGCTCTTGAAAGGGGAAATTTGATATTGTGAGTAAGACAGTTCAATAATATGTAACTAAAAAAAAATTGACATTGAAATGACGCACTCGTAATAATATTAAACATATGGAGGAAGAACGGTGGTTTATATAACTGATAATTTTCAAATGTTTGAAGTCATTGCCACAAGGTCTGCGGAAATATTTTTCGATAAGAATTGTCGGGATTATGCAATGGCTGTGAACCCGGCAATATGATCTTTGATCGGTGCGGCGGGTAAAAATTTTACAGTTGCAGAAGAATTGCAAATGGTTTCGCCAGTAATCAAATAAATAACATCTATGTCACCTAGTAGCATATTGAAAATGCAATGGGCATCTCAAGCCAACAATGTAGGCGCATGAAATGGTACAATCCACCTATTTTCCTCTGTAACAGCCTTATAGACATAACGTAAGGAGGTTCGGTCATGATAAGTTACATTAGATAGAGGTCTAGGAAAATTGCATTTTGCATTGTTCACTAGTGGGTAGAGGACCTTCACACATTCAAAAATGTGGTCGACATGTATGAATTTGATGCAGCGCGCACACTTTTGCGTAAAGCTCAAGTTCGTTTTCAGGATCAGGGATAGTATTACGAATTTCATCAGAAGAAATCATTTCCCAAAGCACAATTAAGGCGGCTGTTATTCCACAATCTTCTTTTTAACAAACGAAAACGTTGCATAAAATACATACACATATGGAAAGGATGATTGGTAGGATTTTAATATCTCCGCTACTGGTAATACAAAGTATTTCAGTTAGATATAATCACTTAGTTTCAGCCATGGATAAAGTGACAAAAAATGTTGGTAACCCTTTAGCCTTAACCATGGAATTTAGATGATGCTCTTTTTCTGCGAAATAAGAGTCCCCTGTGTGGATAAAAGTAGGTAAAGGCATAGATTTACCTTCATCAACTATTATGTCACGAGTATAATGACTTCGTTGTATCCATTGTATGGCAGAAGGTTGACTATGGGTGGAATCGGCATGACGTTGATGAAATATGCAAGCATTGTTTTGGAAATTTCTAAGCTTTTCCAACTGCATATATGACCACATCATCCACACAGAATAAAGTCTGAAGCGAGGATCAAAACTTAGTAATCGCATTTTTGTATATTTGCCATAAGTCAATATGTCATTGTTAACCATGCCCATCTGGAAATAAATCGGGAAATAATATTGCTTCCAACTCGGGGTCAGCGAAACACTTGACAAGTAAAAATATAAATGAGTTAATGGACAGAAACAATAACTTAAAATGTATTAGAATGAGATTTTGAGGGTCTTTATTAGGCACACATGGGTGACCCCTATTTTACTGTGCTTTTACTACCTAAAAAGACTTAGCTGACACCATGCGGTGTCAGTACATATTACATAAAAAGGACATAACATATAAATAAAGTAAAAAATACATATTGGGCATACATCTATCTATATTACATTCTAATTAAATATTTACAGGACGGATTGTCATCTTCTATGTATCTTAGAAGGCTGGAGTGAAACAGACAGCCAACAAAGTCTTTGATGGCCATCCATTACGGAGTGTTGGGTTGGTGGTCCTTCGACGGTAGTGCTCCAGTAGGCCAAAGTACTTCTGTTCTATCCTTTGCACTGTATTAGAATGAGGTTTCAATTTCTTTATTGATCACACATGGGTGAACCCTTATTTATGTGTTTAACATCAACAATACAAAAAAAACAAAGACATAGTAATAAATAAATATAAGACACCCAACCCATAGACACCCAGAAACCCTGTGGGACTAAACTGGTGGGATGCCTTGAATTATCTTATTTGATGTATAAGTATACTTGGGTGCAACCTATCTATACAATGTATTAGAATGATAATTACATCTTCCATTATAAAGAATATCACCACTGGCACTTGATAATGCCTTAGAGTTGTTGCCGAGGTGTCCAGACCCTCCCGGAGCACTACTGATAATGCATCTGTTCCCCCCATATCCTGACTAATCTAACTTCTTCTTCATTTTCTCTCAGGAATACTATCTCAAAGACCTGCCTTATGGTTGATGACCCATAGGTGGGTACCTTATAACCAACAGGTCCTTTTGTCCAAGCTCCCCTGGCATTGTACATCTCCATGATGGCCTCTGTAGAAAGCCTATGGCTAAACATGAGTAATGTGCATCTTCATTATGTATCTCATCAGGAAATACATAGGAAGGCATAACTATATCTGAAAAATGTACAGGAGGTGTGAAATCTTCATCTGAAATATGGGTGCCAAATAAGTGTGAATTTGATGCAAGTAAATGTGAAGCCAAAGAATGATAGGCCATTAGATTGTTATGTTGGAGCCAATCACAAGCATAACGCAAGGATGGATGATAAAGTGTCAGTGTTCTTCTGTTTCTAGAATGTCCCATTTGCCCAGTGAGTGAACAATATTCAACAAAGGGTTTTGCACCGCCAGCAGAACGACCTAAACTGGTGTGTAGATAGACAGGAGATAGATATTTTCCTTTTGCGTATGGAACATCGTGAATACATTGAGGTATTTCAGCGAGTGCATAAGCAAGAACGATTATTAGCCATCGCATCCATTGTATCGCAAGCGGCAATCTTTGACGGGTTGCGTGGATTTGTAGTAGGATGTAATTGTGGGAAGGATGCTTGTATTGGATAGGTAAAGTTGTCATTTCTAACTACCCATTTTACAGAGTGCAGGTATAATAATTGTGAACAGTAGGAACAGGGAACACAGGGATAATCGTCCGTCTTCGTAAAGTCTTTCGTAAAGCATCAGAAGGGCGCCAGTAAGGTTGTATTTGAATGTTGGCCAAGTCCGAGGCATGAGGGACATAGGAAGAGCGAAAGAATGATTGTGTGAAAGCCAGAAAGTATCAGCACTATGGAAAACAGATTCATTGGGTTGAAGAGAATCAACAGTGTATATATCGAGAATTTGTTGAGACATTTATTTTCTTTCCGTGGAGAAAAAAGTCTTGAGAAAAAAGTGTTGCGATGATAGAACAACAGGATATTATGAATAGAAGACAGGGAAGTGTATAGTAAGTGAAGAATGGGGAAGGAATAATGATTCGAACGAAGATGGAAACTGTCCACTGATAAACGAAAATTTTTTTATCAGAGTGTAACACAGAGACATTAGAAAGTTAGAAAGGTACATAGCATAATAAACGGATAATTAACTACGTGTATAAAAAAGGATAGTATGTATGAGGCGACAAAACGGAGTCTAGAGATCAGGATTGTCTGGTAAGGGAAAATAACAAAGCATGACATAATCAGGCGAAGCAGAGCAATATAGAAATACAAGATAAGTAAAGCGGGAGGGATATTTTAGACTAAGTATACATTGATGGGCAGTGTAAATGGATGGAAACAAACAATCATGTGAAGTAGTGGGTTGGGGATACCTTTTATGGGTAATAAGATTGAAAGAAGGTAGCCGCACATGGAAATCGAAAAGTCTGGTCTGGTGCGTTAGTAATTATTATTCTATAGTAATACTTTTTTTTTTCATCATTCAGTCTAGTCGCTCTTTAATGAGTGTATTTAATTTATATGTTATGTAAACGATGTTTAATAGGAGTATTTTAACATTTCCATCGATATATTACCTGGACATGTTACTAACTTCTTTTGACTTTTTCTTGATACTCACTCGCTGTTCGAACGGGAGCCGTTCCTCCATTATATTTTTTCTTTCATCATTCTTTCATCACTCCTCCAGCATATAGTATACTATATAGCATTATTTTAACTACTATAATAGCTAGAGTTTGTATGCTGTTGTCACTGATAAACTAAATCGGTATTTAACTAAGAAAGATATGTCTATGCGTGTGAAAAATTTACATATCTCTACAAATTTGAGTTAAGCGATTGTATTTACTGTGGATATCAACTATTCATCGACCCTACCCGCATTCTCTAATTTGCGAATATGAACGTCTAAAAAGTAAGGCTACAACAAATCCATTCATCTCGGAATACCACATCATTACATTTTATTGATGTCACACTAAAAATTATTTAGCTTCATATTTCAAGGCATATGATGTAATCATCCAAACAATCTATCAACTTTTAGCTTCCTTTCATATTTTTTCCCACTTGTACGTCATACTCATATCAATAATACTATCAACAGTCTAGTTTATGTATGTTTGCATTTAAAATTATTGTGTCAGCTTATAAACATTTCCCAATTTATCAACCATAATAAATACGTCGTCACTGTTGATGCTTTTCTATTTCAATACTAAATAACTTTCTCATTATTAACTGTATTACCTTACAATGGGAAAGAAGGAAGATATATAATACGTACTTATAATAAAGTATATTACTGTCACGCTAAATATTGTTGTAAACGGTGTCTTATTTAACTAAGCAAATAATTATTACAGCATCCTTACATCAAATTCGCTTAGAACAACATACATCGTTGCACTATAAAACCAACTGCTCATCATAAGCATCACTCTTGATATTTCATAAGCCAATCCAAGACACACCTCTATCTATTTTTCTTTTACTAATTATTAATAACCAAAAAGAAACCAAACAAAAACCATGTTCATTCATTTTGATTCAACAGCCGTACACGTCATGGCCCCCGAATACCAAGTACTAAAAGCTAATGGAATATTTTTAAACTTTGTAAATGAACCAATTTCCATCCACTTTGAAGTATATATACCGAAAAACAACCCCGATTGGCGCGCGACGTCGACTTTTGCAGTAGATGACATTCATGAACAGTCAACTCTGTTCATACCTGGAAATGTAACTGCTTCTTGCGCACCGTTCGTTTCATATAAAAACTCTTTGTTTATACCGGAGTTTCTTATAAACTTTCCATATACCAGCACAGAGAGCTATGCCAACCCGTCCGGTATAAAAGCTGACTGTACTTATCATAAAGTTAGAAGACATCAATCATCATTACAGTATGTATAACTAGATCACATAAACCTTTATGTAAGCCAATCATGTTGTTAATTATTGCTTTTGTAAACACTTGCTACAGGTCACGTTTCCCAAAATATTCCCCACGCGCGAAATTCGACATAAAAATCCATCACAACGCCGAAAAAAAAGTCTGCATGAAAGAACTATGAAAGCAAAAGTTGACTCAAAAGTGCCAACCGTAGGCGAATTAGACATTTATAACAATAAACTTTGTGTTGAGCTTCATAGTTTCGATTCTATCCCTTACCACTTTAACCATTCAACCATTTCGCAACCTTCCAAATTACACCAATACAATGAGTTAACAGCCAACAAGTGAATAAGCACACCCACCTCCCACGATTACCCGCAACGTACCCCCCATTAACAGTATATTACATAATGCACGTGATTATAAAATCATTCTATAATACAATTCTGGTTACTGTGATTACTATACCGACCCCCTAAGTTTTTATTTACTTGCGGTTTGCCGATCATTTTCATATGATCGAGTACTCATTTATACAATGATGTTATCACTTCTCGACCTCATTGATAAGTAAACACACAGCCAGCGTATTGCATATTTTTGGATGGGCTGCTGCTCAAACAACAACAGAGTTATAATAATAGAGATGCAATAATAATAAAATCTATTTATTTTAAGTATTCCAATTCCATTAACTCCATAATAATAAGTAAGCAAAATAGTAGAAGGCAGCATAATTGATAAAATATCAAAGCGCAAGTTACAATTTAGACATACTATTCACTCCATCGCTATTTGTCATTTATACTTGCTCTGATATAGCTTTCTAAGCCCTACCGATAACCATAATAATTAAGGTCGATATATTGTCTAACATCATTGTATCTGCATTATGATCTGTTTAATGAAAACAGAAATAATCAGAGGCTCCGGATAAGTGTACTGCGCAATTAAACATGCGCATCCATATGTCTTAGATTGATGTGTGGTGTGGGAAATGCAATAGGCGGCTTATTCGACAAATATGACAATATGGCGTTCTTGGTATTTCTCCCACGATATATTGTCTAATCACGTAAACAATCAGCGCAATTAGTTTACTATGAGAGTTTATATATCAAAGAATAAACTAATGTGTGATTATTCTAAATACTTAAAATAAAAATATGATTGTTTAGTTCTGTTATACTCATGGTCATAAAAACATCGAAGAAATAATCATTCTTCAAACTTTGACGAAAAAAAAAAGATGAATAACGAAGTTGATTTGTCTTACGGTCTGTCGTCAGATTATGAAAAGCTTTACGAAAGTGGCAAATATACGGATATTTCAATTCATGTTGGAAGGGAACCGAATAGCAAAATATTTCTCGCTCATACATTAGTACTATGTACACGAAGCACATTTTTTGAGAATAGCTTAGCAGGAAATACAGAAGCGTCTAAAGAGATTCAAAAGGCTGCTGCCATGAAATTGGAAGATGTGTCACCTGATGCTTTCGAAATCTTGCTTAGGTAAATTTTATAAGCTAACAAGCTGGGATGTTCGTCGTATCAATAGAAGGATTTATGAGTTTAATATAAACATTTTTATTATTATTAGGTTTATTTATACTGGGAAAATGTCCTATGATTCATGCAATAATATAAGTTGGTTCAGCCTTTTGGATGGAGCTAGCAAGTTTGAACTACTTGATCTCCTCAGTGAAGTTGAAACTCATTTAATTCATGAACAAGGAGAATGGATTCAACAGAATATTTTTGCAGTTTATAAACATGTTACATCTACTGTTTTATCAGTCAATATTCTGGACTACTGCAATCGGATTATGATTTCAGGCCCAGAGATCGTTTTTAAATCTAACAATATTGCAGCCTTACCAAAGGAGAACTTGATCGATCTTCTCAAGAGTGATAAGCTTTGCATGGATGAAGACAGTATTTGGATGTCAGTTGTGCAATGGGGCATTAAACAAGTGCCAAGACTGGAAAATGATCCAGAGAACTGGTCATCTCAAGATATTAATGCAGTCAAGGAAATTATAGCGGATTGTATACCTCATATAAGATTCTTTGGTATCTGCCCTAAAATTTTGACTCGGTATTGTGATTTATTGCCGAGAAAATTGTATCGCGACATACTTAATTATTATACGGATAAAAGTGATAA